AACTGGCAAATTAATTACTTTTTTAATCAGACGTTTATACCAAAAGATATTGATATTCGTGAATGTCACTTGCTTTGAACCAATCAGAAGACATGGTTTATTCGGTGATGTAGATGCGTTACCATGATACCGCACTCAACGGACAAGATCCATAGTTGAGATCCAACCATTAAAGGGACAGTAGCCTCTAGGATTTACTGCATACAACTGTACTTAACTGTATAACAAATCGTCTTATCCCACATGTATTTGTCACCAGATACTTAATTAATTATTTACACATCAACGCTACGAAATTTGAACGGCGCCATGACACCCGCGACCGTGCGCACCCTGAAAAATTGAGTATTTGCATTTTTATTTTTGCAGGTAAATGACCGAGGCTAATCACAAAAGTGCAATATATTTTATACCTAAATGCTATTTAACCGACGATATTCATTTTTAGGGCAAATTTATCCATATTATAACTTGAAACTATATGTCGTTTATAAGATATTACAATCCTTTTGCTTTTAAATGAAAAATAAGAATACCCTCGTCTATAGCCCTTGGCTAGAGTGGTTTTTGCGCACCTTCTCAGATCGTGCGCTTTGAGTGGCGCCACCGTCGTTGTAATCAAACTGTAGTCGTTAGTTTTAAAACATTTTTTAAAAATATTTCTAATGGTGATTGAACCATGAAACTTTTTATGTAGCGCAATTATAACCTAAATTAGCTGAAAATAACCCTAGAACCTAGAGGCTACTGTTCCTTTAAAGAAAAAATTTCGTTCAACAAGGCTTCATGAAACCAGGAACTACAATGAATCCACTCATAAGGAATACAGTCAAAGCTGCATGTAAAGGTCACTAAAATAAAACGCTAAGCCAGCTTATCCTTTATAGACAGGTATTATTCTATAAAAGTGGTTTCATTGTATAATTTATTAATTATTATTTATATAATTTGTTTCATTAATAATAATAGGTGTCTGCTAATGCTAGGTTTTACTGTATGTGATATGATGTGACTGCATATGCATATAATGTAAATGTCATTTATAATGTGTCTGTCCTCTTTTAAGTGTCTGCTAACGCAGGTTTGACTGCATATGCATATAATTTAAGTGTCATTTATAGTGTCTGTCCTCCATAAGTGTCCATAACGCAAGTTTTTCCCTGTACGCGACCTTGAGGTGCGTCCGTGAACGTAAACCCCATGTGTGACGCGACGACGCGCTTACCTTGCCGGACTCTATGAGGGCCACGCTGTGAGGACTTCCCTTCTCGACGAGCGTCACCTGTCATTACGCAGCGCTCGATGTCCACACACAGTCGTGGCTCAGGACTAGAGGCTCCCTGCAAGGATCGCACACACACACACACCAGTTAACATAACTGTCAATAGTGCATAATCTCTGTCATGTTATGCGCAGTAGTTAAAGAAATTCTAGTGATAATAATAATAATGATGATGATGATGATGATGATGATGATGATGATGATGATGATGATGATGAAAAATAATAACAATATAAATAATAATAATAATGATAATAATAATAATAATAATGATAATGTTAATGATGATAATAATGATAATAATAATAATAACAATAACAACAATATTATCAACATGAATACTAGTGAGAATAACAATGACACTATCTATACAACAAACAACAAATATTATTGGTAAATAACTGTGTGTTAGAATCTACTGTTGAGTACCATTAACTAAAACCTTCACAAATTAAATACACAATATTACACTGGGCTGAAGGCAGATGCCGACGTTGACCCTGCAGCCAAAGCTAGTAAAAAGAAATTCTAGTGCTAATAATATAATAATATAATGATGATAATATAATAATAATAGATTAAATACACTGTATTACACTGACCTGTAGCAGATGCCCGACGTTGACCCTGCAGCCGAAGCTCGTGCGACGGCTCGCGGCGACAGTCCGAGACCCGAGAATAGCTTTGAGAAGTTGGTGGTGAGAGCGAGGCGTGGGCGCTCCTCTGCGATCACCCCCAGCGTGCGCACGCAGCCCAGGTTCACCCACGTTGCTCGGCGGAGGAAGGAGAGGGAAATCAATAAACATTAATCATCAAATCAATCAATACAATAAGAATCAATCAATCGTATCCTCCGCGATCACCCCCAGCGTGCGCACGCAGCCACGTTCACCCCACGTTGCTGCCGGGAGGAAGGAGAGAGAAATCAATAAACATTAATCAATCAATCAATCAATACAATAAGAATCAATCAATCGTATCCTCCGCGATGACCCCCAGCGTGCGCACGCAGCCCAGGTTCACCCCACGTTGCTGCCGGGAGGGAGGAGAGAGAAATCAATAAACATTAATCAATCAATCAATCAATACAATAAGAATCAATCAATCGTATCCTCCGCGATCACCCCCAGCGTGCGCACGGCAGCCGAGGTTCACCCGCGTTGCTGCGCGGGAGGAAGGAGAGAAAATCAATTAACATTAATCCTAATCAATCAATCAATCCAAAAGAATCAATCAATCGTATCCTCCGCGCATCACCCCCAGCGTGCGCACGCAGCCCAGTTCACCCCACGTTGCTGCCGGAGAGAGGGAGAGAGAAATGATAAATTAATCAATGCAATCAATCAATCAATCATCATCAATACAATAAGAATCAATCAATCGTATCCTCCGCGATCACCCCCCAGCGTGCGCCACGCAGCCCAGGTTCACCCCACGTTGCTGCCGGGAGGGAGGAGAGAGAAATCAATAAACATTAATCAATCAATCAATACAATAAGAATCTATTAATCGTATCCTCCGCGACCCCCCAGCGTGCGCGGACGCAGCCCAGGTTCACCCACGTTGCTGCCGGGAGAGAGGAGAAGAAATCAATAAACATTAAGTCAATCAATCATCCAATACAATAGAGAATCACTCGTAATCCTCCGTGATGACCCCCAGCGCGCCACGCAGCCCAGGTTCACCCGCTGTGCTGCCGGAGAGAGGAGAGAAATCAATAACATAATCAATCAATCATGCATACAATAAGAATCATCAGATCGTATCCTCTGGAATGACCCCCAGCGTGCGCACGCAGCCCAGGTTCACCAACGTTGCTGCGGGAGGCAGGAGAGAAATCAGCAATAATTATAATAAATACTTGTTAAATTAATTAGAAAAGTAGACAATCCGTCGTTTTTCCGTAAAGGTTTAGGACTTTAGGTGGTAGGTGAGTGTAAGAAACCTGTCGTATCATCCCAATGATACGTACGTACTCCAGGATATGTTTTGTTATATTTATTATTTATGTATAATCATTTGATTTATTTCCATTATATATGAATAATAGATGCTTCAGTCGACGAGTGGAAAAGCATAGAATGTGTGAGAATACGATGGGATCAAAGCTTGTGAGATAGAGAGAGAATAAGAGATAGATAGAGAAAGAGTTAGAAAGAGAGAACGAGAGCGAGTGAGAAAGATAGATAGAGACGCACTTACCTTGAGTACTGATATCGAGGTTCCGAGGCCTTTGCTACAAAGCTCCATCACAGAGTATGAGCAGAACGTGTCTCTCACTGAAAGATAGAAGCACAGCAACAGTTAACAACAGTTAACAACAGTTAACAACAGTTAACAACAGTTAACAACAGTTAACAACTGTTAACAACAGTTAACAACAGTTAACAACAGTTAACAACTGCAGCAGCTTCTACAAAATGCTACGAGTGGCAAAAAAGTTTAAAAAAGTCAAATCAAAAAGAGTTACATTGAACGTCCTTGAACGTCATTGAAGTAATCTTATTCATTACACCAGCTCTTCGACTAAAAACAATGACTTTTGGCAACCTAAAATGTACTGTCTCTAACCACTAATGCAGACCAGGCCCTTTTCCATTAACATAGCAACGTTTATTTGTTATTTTAGCATTTCCTGACATTTATCAAACCAACAACTTCTATTAACACTGCAGTATAATGTAACAAATTCTGTAGCAATAATTTCAATAAAACATAATGATAATGTCGTATGATGCACAGTTTCTAGAAACTAAAACACGCCAACATATTTCTTCTACCTAAAAAAACAAAAGGCCGTCGACGCCGACTGTGCTGACTTGTACTTGACCAACGGCCGTCAACACACAGCGCTGGATTCTGCTCCACCTCTGATGGAGGGATCAGGATGGAGTGATGGCGCGGAGTAGACGCTGCTGAGGCACCACAGCGAGAAGCCGAGGCGCAAGTAGGAGGTCGAGCAGAGCGCGACTGTGTCGAGAACGGGTTAGAGCTTCGACAGGCCAGCTTCAATGACTGCGACAGGCAGCGACGTGCATCGACCGCGTGCGAGATCTGTACAGTGGAGGGAGAAAGAAGGAGACATGGATTAACCATGCTAAACACACGCGACGCGTGTAAGCAGTCGCATGCACATGCCTCACGAGCAACACGGTACGCAATGCACATGTACACAGTAATGGTGTGGAACACATCTTCCTAGGAATCAAATTCAAGGTGTTTATATTATGCCAACAGTTTCTTCATCCTTCAATGATATAATAATCACGACGCAACGCACGCACGCACGGTCACGCAGACGCACGCACACACACACGCATAGCATAACAGGTAATATATATGCTTCCTAATGGCCACATGTTCCATTTATTATGTAAACATTAGCTATCACCACTATTCTCTATCCCCCATCTTGTCATCTGCACTCATTACTATTATAATAATATTTATGTTTGTTATTACCGGTAATAATACTCATATTTCCATTTGTTCGTTCCAGAGCAAATGTCCATTTTTTTCAGCAAATGTCCAAAGAAAATTTGGCAGATGTACATCGCATGAATCTTCAAAATACGCACATACGTTATTGTTGTTGTGCTTTAGTTTTAAACTTCAGACTGCAGACTCCCTCATTTTGCTATGAACTCCCTCTCTTTGAGGGCAGGGAGTCCGTTCCCTTGTTCAAAAGTTAATTTCTACCCCTGTAAGTCTACGTAACATCTTACGCCTGCAAAATTCACTCGGGTGCTCTAACGAGAAATGTGACGAGAAATGTGAGGTAAGGGCACCTGCGTACCTCTGGATGTCTCTCGCGTGCGCTAACGAGAAACGCGCGTACCTGGATGTCTCTCGCGGGGCTTCGGTAGATTCGTCACGCAGGTGTGCGGGCACATCAGCAGGTTGGAGGGATGCAGCATCCCCTCGAGGAAGCGCTTCTTCGTTTCCGACAGGTGTATCCCACCGAGAGGCGTCTGCGCAGCGGTAAACAAACACGGTCGCTTAGCAACTACGATGGGTTAGCAATCACGATTGCTTGGCAACCACTATGGTTTAGCAATCACGGTTACTTGGCAACCACGATCGTTTAGCAATCACGGTTGCTTGGCAACCATGATCGTTTAGCAATCATGGTTGCTTGGCAACCACGATCGTTTAGCAATCACGGTTGCTTGGCAACCATGATCGTTTAGCAATCACGGTTGCTTGGCAACCACGATCGTTTAGCAATCACGGTCGATTGGCAACCACGATCGTTTAGCAATCACAGTTGCTTGGCAACCACGATCGTTTAGCAATCACGGTCGATTGGCAACCACAGTCGTTTGGAAACCATGATCGTCTAGCAATGACAGTCGTCTAGCAAACTCAGTCGCTTAGCCATGATGGTCGTTTAGCAACCACGATCGCTTGGCAACTACGGTCGCTTAGTAACTACAATCGTTTATCAGCCATGGTCGCTTAGCAACCACCAACTATTAGCAACGACAGTGACTTAGCAACCATGTACCAAGCAGGCACCAATGCAAACCTGATTGCTGACGATAGTGTGACCAACATTACTTTGCAAAGCTATATAATATATAATACAAAGTTATAATGTATGAGTGTGCATGGTGTCGGTGATGCATCGCTTACTTTAGGTAGTTGGTTGGGAGGCACCAAGGTGAGGCAGTAGACACCGACGCCATGTATGCTATCCACTGCCTGCAGAACTCGACTCATCCACTGAAAACTCTGAAACAACGACGGCAGCAAATGACACATTATAGCACCTCGTTAAATCATATTACATGTACACAACACATGCTATATCCTCAAAAATTTATTTCCCAATTGTTTTTGCTGGTCTTTTTCCCACAGAGAAAGGCAAAAACAGCCCTGCGCATGCAACCCTGTATGCATACCTGCTCAAAGGAAAGCACACTAAGTATCGCTCATAGGGTCTATGTCCCCCAGGGTACTGCCGGAACGTACCCTGGTAACTATCTGATATGGTTAGGGTTAGAGTTAGGGTTCTGGGTTAGGGAGTAGGCGTAGGCGACTCCCTTGACTCGTTAGTGGAGTAGGCGAGGTACGGTCCGGCATATTAGATACTACCAGGGTACGTTCCGGCAGTACCCTGGGGGACATAGACCCTCTCAGCGGAAGTATCTTTCGTTCTCCGGTGTCTACACTATAGAGGTGTTTGGCCACACAGGTGTGACTGTATTTACAATCAGCTTGACACTTCCCTTCGAGTTACACATGCTATGTCAGCACCTCTACTCCTCTATACATGTCCTATGCGGCAGGTCTAACTAACGTACTTCTTCTTCTGTGCAGTCCGGTCTCTGCTCGGCAATGATGATGATTCTCTCATCCTTCAGCACCTTGATCGAGAACACCGCTATCCTGTAATAGCACAAGGTCACCTTCACACCTCACATACTGTACAGGTTTGATCGAGAACACAGCTATCCTGTAATAGTACAAGGTCACCTTCACACCTCACATACTGTACAGGTTTGATCAAGAACACAGCTATCCTGTAATAGTACAAGGTCACCTTCACACCTCACATACTGTACAGGTTTGATCGAGAACACAGCTATCCTGTAATAGTACAAGGTCACCTTCACACCTCACATACTGTACAGGTTTGATCGAGAACACAGCTATCCTGTAATAGCACAAGGTCACCTTCACACCTCACATACTGTACAGGTTTGATCGAGAACACAACTATCCTGTAATAGTACAATGCTTCACATCATACATACC